GATAGAATTTAACTAGCCACATTGAAAAAGACTGTTTTAAAACATGTGATAACTAAATTCTGTGGGGAATTAATAAAACTTATGAAGACTATGCAGTAGCTATTTGGATAGTAGTAGGAAACTGAACCAAAGAAAATGGCTCAAGAAAGAGTATGGTAGAACGGCTCTGAATCCTGGGTTGCAACAGGTTTTTTCCAGCTGTACAAGCTCCCAGGAACGCTTCTCAGCCCAAGCTGAACTTGTATTTATTTAACTTTATTGTGGTATTTCTTCCTGCTTCTGAATTTATCAATAAAATCCTAGTTTTATTTAAGATAACTTGTGTATGTCTTGGATAAAATAAACAAACAAAAAAGCCCTCTATTCTTTCCTTTGATGCTGTGAGTAGGACTGAGGCAGTTAATGTTCTTGTGGTTGGACAGTTCATGGGAGAAATTTGAGATTCTCCCTGGACATGGCCACAGACTTTCCAGGGTTATTATCAACAAAAGAGAAGGTAATGATAGAAATGTAGAGTGTGTTAGTTACAACGAAAATACGTGTCTATAATGTGACTTTAGTCTAAGTTAAACTTGACTTTGCAATTTGAAATGTTCTGGATCATGCTGGAAGCTCAGAAGGTATCATCAGCATGCTGTTGTAGTTTCCACAAAAGAACTTCATCTTGCCTGTAGGTTATGGCTTCTGCATTTCACTCACTAAGAAACAGGATTTATGTTAAGATCATGAATATTAAATGTTGAGAGCAAATGTGTTCAGTCTGAGCTATACATTTTTTAAAGCTGGCAATATTTCAGTGTCAGAACCAACTGGATTTTTACACAAAATGCTTGTCTCAAGGCATGTCACTGTTGGGCAGAAAAGGAAGAGTTGGTGTTATGGCCTGCAGAGCCCAGCAAAGCCAGGCTTTCTTTATTTAAATAGTATATGTGGAATATGCACAAATCACATTTTTTTGATTTCATGGGAAGATACTATTATTTTTAGTCTTAAAGGGGCCAAGGGGTTAACAAAATTTGAATAATTGAACAGCCTGTAAAATACAAATTGGGATCAGATTTTCACAGTCATCACAGCTGCTCAGAATTCTGTCAGCTTCTCCTGAGGAGGAAAATACTCATTTGTTTTCAGTTTCATGTTCTTTTAAGGGATGTACATACTTCAGTTGCCATCCCATTTGTAAGAAGAATTTTGTGTTTTAAACAGGAAAACATTTGTTACCTTGGGAATCAAAAGTTCCCTATTTCAGGAGTGATATTCACAAAATCTGTGTGCTGCTCATCTATTGTAGTAAGAAGGAAAACCCAGCAGCATTAGTCTAGCTGTAGTTTACCTTCTGGCAGTAGTTATTGTTATGCCCATGAGAAGCAGTTAGTCCTGTTGTACCTCATTGTGGGTAGGCAGGAGTGGCAGGGTAATATCTCTGCCCCAAAGAATTGCCTGTCTGCCTGGATAAGGCTGCTGGAAAGGAGGATGTAATGGACAGAGATAACAGTATGTGATAACAGATATGATACTGTTGAAATGATTTTGGTTGGTTGGTTGGCTGGTTAGGAAGTGCTGAGTCACCTGGGACGAGACCATCAAGGAGAGAAGACAAGAGAACAGCATGCAAGAGTGCTGTTACTGAGGAAGGAGCAGTGGGAAAGAGATTCAGAACAAGCAGCTGGGGAGCACAGGATTGAGGGAGGCCCTGCCACAGTCTGGCTGCTCTGTGCTTTCTGCTTTGGCAGGTTCTATAGCTTCTCCTGCTGTCTGAGGGTTCTGGTTCATTCTTCCCCAGCTGGTTTTCTTTAGACAGTATGGCTGGGGAGGAAGGAAAAAGCTGCACGGAAGTTCTTGCACTTTGAAAATTATGTTCTTCCTTAAATATATTGTGATACAGGACAGTCCGGAAGAGAGGAATTGTCCTTGTTGAGACCTTTTTAGGGTTTTTGATCTCTCTTTATTTGCAATGGGCCCTGAACCTTGCCTCACTTCTGCTTGTAATACTACAGTTTGTATCAGTCCCCACTTTTGGAGCTTGATTCTATTGTTTTCACTCATTGATTTTTTTAAAAAATACTCGAAGCTACAAAAGCCCTGAAAATGTCAAATTGTGTTTCTTTTTCTAAAATGGAATTTAAAGTTATTTATTTTACTACCCTATCTCTGAATATATTTTTGGCCCTTCTGCTTTTTTAAGTTCCTTTGTGAATGACCCCCTAAGAGAAAAAATGAAAAAAAAAAGAGAGATGGAAAATTAATGAAGCAAGCAAGCTTGAAATATCCATCAAATTGCATAGCATAAATTAGCTAAGGCCAGACATTTTTCTTGAATATATTTTATGTTCTTCCAAAGTATTCACGCTGCCAGCATTATCCAAAATGCATTGTGTTCATATTCTGCTAAAGGGTGACAAATAGCTCAAATTATTAAATCACCTTTGATTTGACTGCTAAAGTTTATTGGGGTACAGTATAGGAAATCAGCCTGTGTGTCAGCTTGAAACTATCTTCCTGTAGAGCCCTTGGATAGTTTAAATATTCTTTCTCTTCTATTTTCTTTTTTGGTTTTTAAGAATTATTTTATGGAAGTTGTGTCTTAGCACAAATAATCTTCCATGGCACTATGCTGACTGTACATTTCTGTACTGTACAGGAGTTTTGAAATACATGATAAATAAGCTACCATGTTTCCCAGTGCTTGAGATACCCATTTACCCCTGCTCCCCATGTAAATGCAGATACGTTATTATGTATATATATATACTGCCCACTAAAATGTGTAATAATTAATAGGACAGTTGAAATCAGAGCAGTTAATCAAGAAAAAAGATATAACCTCTTTTGGTAGTCACTTTGAACTTCAGTGAGAGAGAGCCAGATTTAAGAGCAAATGAGTACAGAGCCAAGTCTGGTATGATTTACTGCAAATACTTGGACCTGTAGAAGGATATCTGTTTCTTAATAGTAAGGTCTCTTAATTAAAATTTTATAGTCCATTTTTGGTGTTAGTTCATATATTGCTGTTTACCTGGGGTATGTCTGATAATTGCTATTATAGATATCAGCCATAGTGTTTCTACATGGCAAATACAGAGGAAAAAAAACTCAGTAACAGTTGTGGTTGGATGATTTAGTCAAATACAAGTAGACACAGACTCTCAGAATTTGCTGAAAGTCAAGAAGTTAGTCAAATGAAGCACATTACAAGTGTTGTCTTACCAAGATATTTCTGTTGGAAACAGAAAGGCAACTATACCATAGGATTTCTGTGAAAATGTTCATTGTTACTACAGATTCATGAGGTGTTACAGGTTGCCAAAGTAGTGATTACTTAAGGAAAAATAAAGATAGCACAGGTTGTTTCCAGGTTTGTCATAGAAATGAGGGTCACAATACTGCTGGAAGCAGGACAGATTTGAAACTTGCTTAAGATTGTTCTTAGATCTAAGTTAAGATCTGGAAAAGCGGAACCACTGTTGGAAAAAACAGTGACCATGAAAACATAATGTACATGGAGGTATATTATATATATTATGAGGCTGCTGTGTATGCAGAATTTCTAATGAAAGTGAAATCTCTGTTGGCATTTTTGGGTTGTAATGGTGAGTAAATGAAAAAAAAGGTAGAGTAACAAATTGTCTTAATGAAATGCAGATATACTGGGGCTATGAAGAAGCCACTTCTGCTGATTGTTGTCATGTAAGCATAGAACTGCTTGAGCAGAGACTTTGCTAAGAAGGAAGTGTGCTGCTTATTGTGCCTTAATGCACATCAAAGCTTTTGCCCTTGGATGCTTCCTGCAGTAGACCTTTGGAAAGCGTTATGACGAAACACTGGAGTAAGTGGGTGATGGATGGATGATCAGGTGCTCACACTGCAGGGGGATTGCAAGGCCTTACTGTATAGGTGTGTTAGCTGATTGAACCTTTTGAAATGCTTAGCAGAAGCAAGGCACTTGCTGGTACTAAGGGTGACTGCATAAAACAGTTTAGAGCTGCAATTCTGAAAGGAGAGGGGGGAAACTTCTGCTGTTTCAGTGGTTGTGAGAATCAAGATGACGTGCATTTAGTGATGAACTATGAAAAACTGTCTACTGATTAAAGGTAAGAAAACAGTAAAGCTTGTCTTCACTGCTTCAAAGCCATCTAAAGATTGTACCAGGTTTTACTGGAAGGAATTGTAACAATTCAGGATGAATGAATTTTGTTTGCTGTATCTTTCAGGGGTTGATGGAGAAGTGCATCCTTCTGCATAGTAAACACAGATCCTGTTAATAATTTTAGGACTGCTTTATCTGTACTTTTGTCAGAGTTTTAGTAATTGTTACAGTCCTGTTTCTTGGATTCTTCCTCTTCTGTTGTTAGTATAACAACCCTTATGCTTCCTGTTCTGAGGCACTGCCTAAATTTCTGCCAGCACAGTCATAATTTTACCCATCTTCATCTATTTTCTTATTTGTTTAATGTAAATTCAAATATTATTTAGTCATAAATGATATTTTCCCATTATATTCTTTTATAGTGGCATATTTATCATGTCTTAAAAGCTAATGAATGATAGATCTAGAGTTTGGTGTTTCCCAGCAAGATGAGGAACATCAGCTAGCAATAGCAAAGTTTTCCTGTACCCTGATGTACATGTGGGAGCTCAGCTTGGTAGCTGTGGCTCATGTCCTTGTTGCTGAGGCTTTCAGTAATGGCATAGCAGAATTGACGTTGTTTTGGGCATGTGTCAAATGAATGTTGCTTTAAAATGTTTTTCGAATAAAAAATTGAAGTCTCTGTCCTAGTAATGGCAGCCATACTAAGAATAATTGTTGGTTCTAATAATACACTTTATGTCTATTGTTTCTTTGGCCACAAGAATTTTAGCTGTTAACAGTCCATTTTTACTTGTAGGCTTATTTTAGTCTTATATGTTGGACATAATAATACAGAACAGCTTAATAATTGCAAAAGAAACTTCATTGTGATTTCTTTTCTCTCCTGATGGTGATTGTTGTTGTTGTTTAGGAAACCTGAATTGACTGACTCTGCCTCTCTGCTAGAGACCTTCAAATTTCTTGAAAATGCAGCTGCAGACTTTAGTGATGAGGAAGATGAAGAAGATATTGAAGGAAGAGAGAAAGCAATCATTGATACTGCAACAGTGAGTGGAAAAATAATTGAAAGTTACGAAGAACAGAAAAAGTGAGATTAATGAGGTGCCTATAAGCAAAGTATATGACTGTGTATGTACACATGCAAATCATTAATGCATCTTTATGATGTTCTGTCCAAGCATGTGTGCATAAGAGGAATTATATATGCATTTCTAAGTTTTTGCATACAAGTTATGCTTTGCCATCTTTATTGCTCTGAGTTAGATTAAATTTTTCTAAAATTGTCTCTTTACTATTCCATACTGACTAGTATTTTTGATAGATACCGGAACACAATTTTTAAGGTATCATTGTCCTTTTTTACAGTTCTCAGCTTAGTTTGAAGGTATTGTTCATAACATTGCGTGTCAATAATCATTCTTGAATATTTATTAAAAAATTAATGATACTTAAAATTACTTGTAAAAATTGTATTAGATTACAAAACTAAAATGCACTTGTATTTATAGCTTGTGGAAGGAAGAACTTGTAACTGGAAGAACTCTAATGTAGTGAAGAAATTTTTTTGTTTGTTCAGTCAAATGCCTTAACCTCACTCATGATCTATACTTTGCTATATGATTTATTCATATGATCACATAGATACATGCAGTCAGTACTCTTCTTTAAAATTAACATTTATTCAGTGAATTGTTTCCTAAAAATTGAAGCAGATAAGAGATGATGGATGTGATTATTTTTATGGTCAGTTTTAAGAATTAACACTAAAAAACATGAGTTTTAGGGAATTTTTAAAGGGAATCTTTTCAGATCTTTCCTGTCATTCATGGACTGTGAACTAAAGTCTGGGACTCTTCTGTTAAGTCTTGTGTAATACAGTTCACTAAGCCTGCTGAAGAAATGAAGTTTGAAGTTTAGAATTGCTTCAGGTTTAGAAATTGGCTCTCTGTATTTAGAGGAGATACAATCAGTCATCCTCATGAGCTGTGGGATGTTGGGCTATTTACTGGAGTCTTTACAGGCTGACCCTTAGCAAGGGTCCAAGTCAAAACATTTTGATTAATGTAAATTTTCAATTTCTGTAGAAGTAAAAATTGTGGTATGGTTTTCATTTATCATGCATCAGCTTACCAGTTGGTCAAATAACTGCAAAAAATCTAGTTCATTTTGATTATTAAGGAAAAAGTAAATTTGTGGAAAACTAGAAGTGAAATTCTTCATTAAATTGTATATTCTTTTCTTTTACCAGAATTTGCTTTTGAATCTGAAAAGGAAATTCAGTTTAAACATGAAAAGCAACATGTTTAAATAGCAATACAATCTAAGAAAGCATTCAGGATGGAAAGACTTACAAAGTCTAAGAAAATCAGCTCTTGTCAGTTGTGGGATTTGGAGTTGGTTTATTTGTTTCCTGGAGTTGAGGCTTGGTCCACATAGAGAATGATTTCAGAATTGAAAGTGAGCTATTTTCAGAAAAGCAAAGTGAGTTTGGTTTTACTGAAGTCTTTTCTGTGGCATTCTTGAGTTTTTGTTTATGTGTTTTATGTGTTTTTCAGAAATGTTTTAAGAGAGAGTTTGTACATTTATAGTCTTAAAGAAAAAGATAGCAGTGTAGATTAGTGTAGGTTATTATCCACGTGATTGATTATTGATGGTCACAGGAAGAAAGAGTTTCATTTTCACTTAGGAGTTCGAACAAAGTCTGTGTACTATTCCAGATTTGCTTATTAATGTGTACTTTTCTGCTTCCTCTTCAACTTCCTGTTTGGGTTTTGCATAGAGGACAAGACAGTGCTGCTTGGATTAAAAATATGTTTGTAACTTAAGTCAGCATTTTTTCCCTGTACTTTCTGACCCTTCAGATTGTAAGGAAAAGAGTGCTATCTGACAGCAGTGAAGACAGAGATACAGAAGAAGCTTTGAAAGAGTTTGACTTTTTGGTTACCTCAGATGATGGTGATGCGGAATCGAGAAGTTCAGGAGATGGAACAGACTGGGGTAAGGATGGATCATACCAGGAGAAAAAAAAAGTGTGCTAAGAACATATTGTGACTGATCAGTTCATTGAATGAGAACTCTGTCAGGATCACAGCATCTTTTGATTATTTCTATTTCTATTTCTGTCTTATTATCAGTAAATAATTGGTAGACTTAAGTCCTCTTGATATAATCTCTTTTCTGTAAAGTGCTTCAATGTAAAGAATCTTCAAGGTTTCTGCCTCGGGTCTTTTTCCTTTTCACTAATTCTAAGGCAGATAGAATTTAAATTTTATGAGTGGTGTTTCACTGTATTTTTCCTGTGACCCATGTGCATGAAGGGCTCTGATAAAGCTGTATTTTATGAATTATGATATGAAAGTTATTTTGTCATCTTTGCTTTTTCTCTTTGATGCATAGAGTAATGTGAGTCATAAAATCCAAATGAGTTGTACTCATGTTGTGGGTTAGTAATTTAGTTAATATGAACTCTTCAGCTGCTCAAACTTTCTTTTATAATTTAGCAGAATAATATATCTTTAGGGCCACTAGTCACAGAGACATTTCACAAACTGCTGTCTGTCCTTTGAGGTTCATGTCCTGCAACCTGCATTGCCACCATCTCCACTTTACCTTGACGTAATTATTCTGCCTAAACCCTCGGTATAGAGAAGGGGAGAAAGAAGAGAACTGGTTAAATATCTTGATGGGAAGTTGATTCCTACTTTAGCTGCTCTGGAAAGTCTTAAGGATAGGTGAACATGGCACTAGTGAAGATGATGGGAAATGATTGAGCTTTGTAATGGAGCTGCAGCTGTGACAGACAGATAAGCCATGGTAGCTGTGGCTCTCACATGAGCATCTCCAAGATGCTGTATTTCACTGAAGCCATGTCCATCTCCTGGTTGGACTCCAAGTTACTGTTCAGTGTGAGCTAGTCTCTGCTTAAGAGGATGTTGTAATATCATTAGATACAGCAGTCAGTATCTGCTGATCATTTGATAGCAGTCATTCAACAAACAAATCTAGAAATGCTGCTCTTAAAAAAATAATTGGATACTGCTTTTTAATACTAAAATTTTTTCCATTTATGCAGGATCAGTGCAGCTATTGCTTGTGTCACCAAAAAGTCAGTATGGCAACAGGAGCTTTTTGTTCTCAAATTCACACTTCTGGTTTATTTTTGCTTTCATTGATGACAACTGAGTACCAGTGAGCAGAAGTCTAACATTTAAAATAAATTGTTATTAAAAGTAGTCCTTTCATTTCCAGAAATGCAAAAAGGTTTGTTTGTATTGGAGGTGTTCATGTTTTTCAATTACTTCTTTCACAGCCTGTGTCTTTTTTGGTAACTATGTAAGACTTAGTTTCTTCAAAGAACTGCTGTTGTAAATCACCTAGGTCAGCTTAAGTGAAACTGTTAAATGTGGTACAGTAGAGTGATGTTGTAGTGAGGGACAGCAGCAACAGAGGAAATTCTTTCTTCATTTTGGATTTCAAGTATTATTGTTGAGTTACAGTAAACTGTTGAACCCATTTGGCTTGAAAGGTCCTCAAATGTTTTCTGGTAATTTTTAAGCTGTTAAGCATTTGAATAGCCATAGTTCAGGATCCACTTCTGAAGTTGAATAGTATCTGTGGGACATGTGGAAAGCATGCTGGGACAGTCTGCAGAAAATTAATATATTGGTTGTTTTCCTGGCAACAACCTAATAAAAATCTATTTAAACTTTTTTTTTTTTTTTTTTTTTTTTTCTCCTGGAGGATGGGAAAAAAGTCTTGTCTAGTCAGGGAGGAAAAGCATGATTAAAACTTACAACCTAATTCCAGAAAGACTAGATGCTTGATTCTCTGAAGTATGATTTTCTCATATATTTTTTGAATTCTTAATGCAATTCTTGCTCATTAGTGGTAATTGAGTTATATGCATTAAGAGGACATTACTTAGCCCATCTATTTTAGAGTCTCTCTTCAGCTTACTAATACTTATTTTCATAGCTTTTCTTAAAAGACTTAAACTGCTAAACTTTGTCTTAAGTTAATCTGTCACTCCAGGAGTATAGGATCATGACTGAAGGGTTCAAAGGAGTGAGAGAGCACCTTAAAAAGTATCTTCTCCCACTGTGATGCAAATCTGAGCAGAGTCAGGCTCTATTTTCTCAACATCTGTATATCAGGTAGTTAGAAACCACACTAAGTTGCCTTTTTTGGCATCACTGAGCTCTCACAGTAGCCTCAGCCCCTCCTTGTAGCCCATCTGCTCCAGCTGCCTGCACGGTCTTAGTGGCTGCCTTAGACTTGCTACACTTTGCTGATAATTGGTCTCAGCATTAAAAATATTGTCTTGGATACAGTACTACAAATTGTGGTATCACAAGTGCCCAACACAGGGGAACAGTCACTTCCTTCACCCTCTTGGTTACATTCTTGTTAATACAGCCCAGGATGTTGTTGGTTGCTTTTGCTGCAGGAATATGTTGCTGAATCCTGTTGAATTTGATGTTGATAGAGGATCCCTAGGTCTTTTTTAGCACTATTCATTTTTGACAAGTCAGTTTAATAACCTATGTGTGGTTATTATGTAACCTAGTCACATTAATAACCTATGTGTGTTTTTTATCTTCTGGCCAGTCGTAGTGACTCCTTCAGACTGTGATTGATAATGTTGTGCTTCCTCTACAGACATTTAAGTTCTGCAGCTTGGTCTGAGGATAAGTTTATTATTGTTTTGATTTTTGAAAGATCTAGAATAGCTTATTGATGTAGAAAGCAAACTTGGTCTGAAAGGAATTAATCTTTAAATAATAAGGCTAAGATTTTAATGAGAAAAACAAAGTAAAAAGATAATGCATTTCAAAGATTTTGGAGCTGTAATGGTCAAGAAAATATATACGAGGAAGAGCTGTATTACCTCCCCTCCTCTCGTGAATTATTTTCCTAAGCTGCCTCAGGATAGCCTCCATATATGGAAAAATTGCTTGGGGGATTTGAACTCACGTAACATGTTTTGCTCAAAATCTCTGAATACTCTAGAATTGGAAGGATTCTTCTATTCTGTATCACGTCGCAGAGGAAACAATTTGAGGGAGATGTTTAGGAAAAAAAAGCAAATCCAAATCAAAATGTGGGGATGTTTTTGCATTAGGTTCACTGAAATGTTTTGGACTTTTTTTCCAAAGATTACTACCTCAGGCCTTCACCTTTTTGTAAAGTTTCATGGCTTTAGTGCTCTAAGTGTTTATTTAAACCATGATGACATGAATATTTGTGTTAAAAATGATTTAAACGTGCTACTGCTTTGTGTAAATGACAACATAGCACAAAACCAGTAAAACGAGAATTTGAAATGCAGTACACAACATCTGAGTTGTAAAGTTATGTAGACGAGTAACATAGCTGTTTCTTCTAGATATAATAATTCTTTCCCTGGAGGAAAGAAAAAGATGAAAAATGTGTCCTGATTTATTGTAAAGTAAATATTGCTTACATTTATGGACAGCTATGTGCTTGGTTATGAGAATTAAACATGTGAAATTTCATCTCAATTTTTAATAAGAACATTCTGAGCAAACAGAAGTGGAATGTGAGTAGCAGTTTTGCAGCTTTCACAGGCTTGGTGCTATTTCTGTCTGTTTAAAATAAAAGACAAACGTTGACAGCAGCTGTTGCCTCCTTCAGTGGAGATCACTTGGTGACATTATTGAAAAAGGATGTTTCATTTGTTTCACTTTGTTTAGAAAAGGAAGACCAGTGTCTCATGCCTGAAGCCTGGAATGTCGACCAGGGAGTTATAACCAAACTCAAGGAACAATACAAAAAGGAGCGCAAGGGGAAAAAGGGGGTGAAGAGTAAGTGGAAAACATTGCACCTTAAAATCATAAATCTCACATCTTTCACACCCTTAATTCTATCTCTCTTTCAATGTTTTCCTAAAATTACTTACTCTTTTACTTTGCTGCTCCTGACTGCTTTCCTGTTCACCAGTTCTCAGGGGTTGAAATTAATGACAGACAATCAAGTTATCTGATAAATAGTTGGATTAGATATAACTTCTTCCAACCAAGTGTTGGATTAGTTAAAAATTCTTGCTTTGAGCATGTTTTGTACTTTTGTTATTCAGATATTTAAATTGTACAAGGCATTGTTTTAATACTTCACACTTTAATACAGAAGACTTCAGAATCCTTTCTTAGCTGGAAACATGCCAGTTTCACAGGAAGAGTTAAAGTCTGGTATATAAATAAACAAAGAAAGACACCAAACTGGAAGCTCTCTTGAGTATCCTATTAGATGACAGTGGGAGAAAACAGGTTAATTTCTACCCCTGTTTATATTTGACATTCACAACATGAAAGTCATGCTGTCATCATAATTTGTTATGCAGGGCTCGAAATAGGAAGCAACTATGACCATCAGTTTATTTGTAAATCACAGGATTTATTTATTAACTTTCATACCTCTGGGACTAGCCTTCAAAAAAGTTGGGTATTTTTATTAAAAAAAAACCACCTGTGAACAGTATTTGAAATACAGTTTCTAGCCCTGTATTTTTTTGTTACATTTCTTGAAATACAGATATGTTTTGTAAAATCAATTGGTTTTGATAGGTAAGCCATTAAATTTTTGAACTCAGATGGAGAGTTTAAAATGAAACACTGTATTCATGGCTGTGTTTCAAAGACCTAGCCATATTGAGAATTCATGTGTGAAAGATGTATATTAATAATATTGCATGTAGTCTGGTAAGAAATTTCAGGGATGTTTCTCCCTTTGTGGCAAGATGCTTATGAACACCAAGGAAATTCTCACTTCCAAAGAGATATGCACAATGATGTAAATATGTCAGAGCTTCACATTGAGGCTCACTTGTTTTATTACTTTTTGTATTGATATTCTCATCAGTTGCTACTCAGTAGTTGGTTATTTGGCTGAAATTATGTTATGAAATAACAAAAACGAAACATCTCCTTTTTTCCAAATTAAAAACAAAAAAAAGGTAAATAATTACCATGCTTTAAATTTCTCAAGTGATATTTTTGTCATCTTTGGAATAATTTAATTTACTGGAAGTTAATTGCAAGTCTGACAAGAATCTGAGCTGACTCAAGTGTTCATGTTTAACAAAATTGATTCTAAATTTCTTTATGGTTAAAGATAGACAGGGCATGCCAATATATGATTACAATGAAAGTGATTTTTGTAACTTGTCTGTTATTTTTGAAATACACAGACATGTTATGTGGTTCAGGGTAAATAGCTGTGGGGTTAGTCTAGCAGAAATTATTTAATCCAAGTGTTGAAATTCTATTCTTGAACAGCTGTTGTCTTTTTATTTTTGATGATAAAACTTAATTGTTAATAGAGATGCAGACATTATTGGAATATGTTTTATATCATTATGATAAAAAATCACAATGGAAAGGCAGCACTCAGACATCCAGTGCTCCTTCATGAAGATAATTGCTGCTCAGTACCTTTTGGATTGATTTGATTGGTTTGATCTTGGGAGACAAAGTGGTTTACTGTAGCAGTGAAATTAAGCATCTTTCCATGGACAAACCATCATTAGAGGGCCATCAATGCAGAAAATTCAGGAGGACTCAGAGCCTGTTTTCAGTTATTCATAATGTTGCACATAGTGAAGAAGAATGTGAGGGAGGCTGTCTGGAGAAAAAAGAAGGAACTAAATAACAATAAATTTTACAAAGTTTGTTTCTATGACTTTATTTTCATCATATATGGTGCTTAGCCACTGAACTGCTACTAAGTAAAATACTGTTTTTTATAAAGCAGATATTATAGCAAAACAATCTTGCAAAATCCTTCTTAGTGTTTTTCTGGATTGAGTAATATTTTGGTGACAGACAAGTTAAATACAATTTAGTGTATTATCAGTCATTATGATTAGGGTGGACAAAGTAGCATTTGCAACTGCATTAGTAAACTCATGATTTTGCAAGGCTGTAGTAAACATTCCTGTGAAGTAATAAGAGAATAGAATCATAGAATGGTTTTTTGAGAGAATACATATATTAAGAGTACACTACTGTGTTAAAGCTGCTTGAAAATAGCTGTATTATTTACTGGTCTAGGAAAAAACATAATGGACTATGGGTAAGACATTTTCCCATTCTTAATTAAACTTACAACAGGAAAAACTACCGAAGATATGTTTCAGCCTCAATCCTATATAAAACAGTCAAAACAGGGATGTGGGAAAATGATGGAGCAAAGCACAGGTAAGTGTCAAGAAGGGCATGGGTCTTCACCATATGTAGCTTCAGGAAGTAGGCCAGTGAATCCAGTTGCATTTTTATTTTAATATAAGTATAACTTCTTGGATTATATAGTTCACGATACTACACTACTGCACAAATAAATTTAAATTATAATGTTGTCATAAGAATATGCTGCACAAAGTACCTGATGCACAAATTCTAAACTATCCATGGATGTCAGCTATTGTTTTAGCAAAGTAAATATTCTAGTTATCTAAAGTGTGACTCAGTTGGCGGCATTCCTCAGCATCCCGTACAAGTAGCACTCTGAGTCCATTCATATGGGGAAAATTGTGCTTTCAAAATTCTCAGCTGCTTCTATCACTTTCTTCTTGAAATTCATTTCATGCTGGATGATTAGTTACTGCTGAAGTAAGTGCTCATTAGTTTTTCTGTGGTAATGTCATAATGCAAGGTAGGATCCATTGTTGCATGTGCTGCTGTAGCATATCTGATAAAAGGAGTGTCATCGTGAACTATGCCTAAACCCTTTAATTTTTTGTTTTTTTCTGGTTAGGGCCCAACAGGTCAAAGCTGCAAGATATGCTTGCAAACTTGAGAGATGTTGATGATCTCCCTTCATTACAGCCATCTGTTGCACCTTCTTCTAGGCCCAGTAGTTCAAGGCTCATTGAACATGAGATAAACAGGACGGATGAAGGTAAATATTAAAAAAGTGCCTACCCCTTCATAGAGGGTGGATGTTTATAGTTACTAAAGAATTATTCTCTCTGACTTTCCAAGCACTTTACAAATTCTGATTCAGTATTGCAAGTTTTAGGTGTAATAAATGACATTCCCATTCCTCCATTATGGTTACTATTAGTAAGGTCAAGACACCTACCTAAGTTGAAGTCTTGGCTGAATCTCTTTGAGCACAATGAGAAAAATAATTTGGCACTTGGTGGCTTTGTAATATAATCATCCTAAATCACTTGCTTTTGTTTGTGCTCAAGCCTGGCAGACAAGTGTGGGCCAGAAGCTCTGAGGACATAAGAGCATAATTTTTTTTCCCATTGACATAATTTTAAATGTATGTATGTATACATACACACACACAAGTGCTCTTTTTTCCAAAGTGCAAAGATAGAGGCTGTGCAGGTAAACACAGATGCCTTACTATAGCTTTCAAAAGCATGTACTGTGAAGCATGATTGTGTAGTGAATCATACAGGACAACTTGCAGCTTGCCAGTGTATTAATTTCCATAATGTATTCCAAAAATTAGGAGAAATTCTCACAGGGCTAGTCCAAGTGTGGAGAGCCACACATGCATCTTTGTAATGAAGCACTACTATTAAGTCTGAAAAATGCTGAGTCATCTATTTGATTCAGTATTTGAATTGCTATAATGTAGAGCATAATAACATATAGGATATGGAGCTATATTAATTTGTCAAACAGGGCAGCCTTCCAGTACCTAAAGGGAGCCTGCAAGAGAGGTGGAGAGGGACTTCTTATGTGGGCATGTAGTGACAGCACAAGGGAGAATGGTTTCAGACTGAAAAGAGGGCAGGTGTAGATTGGATATTAGGAAGAAATTCTTTACTGTGAGGGTAGTGAGACACTGAACACATCCAGAGAAGCTGTGGAGCCCTGTCCCTGGAAGTGTTCTGTGCCAAGTTGAATGGTGCTTTGAACAATCCCATCAAGTGGAAGGTGTCTCTTCTGTGGCAGGGGGCTGGAACATGATGATCTATAAGGTCCTTTCCAACCCAAACCATTCTATGATTCTGTGGTATCATGTGGTCTATTAAAATGGTAAATATGTTTTTTGAAAAATGTGCAAAGCATGAGTTCCACTTAGCAGTCTTTCAGTGAGAGTGAAAAAGTAGGTCGGCCAAGTTAAAATTAAGATGCATAAAAAGCTGTGGTGTGTGGAATAGCTACCAAAGATCTCAGTAGTTCTGCTTCCTTCATGCTCAGTGATTTTCTTCATGAAAGAAGGGGGTAACTTAGCAACGCTTTGTGAAGTGGAAGAATTTTTTGTTGACTGTTCCCTTTCCAACTTTTCTCACATGTACTGAGAGCTGTATTAGCAGAGCTCTATTTTCATGTGTTTTCTAATTCAGAGACTCACATGGATTCTCACAAAAAAAGGACAGCTGATTTTTACCAGTCTGAGTTCAGTATTAATGTTAGCTGTGTATTTCTTTATAAAGCTGAGATGCCATATTTTGGGCACACATTTTTTTATTCTAGGAAGTTTTCAAATTTGGTGTCCTGTGTGTATTGTGTGTTAAGTGAAATATTGCTTTGTGAATTCAAAGGACAGGAGAAGAAAACTGTAGTGTAGACTTAGGGGTGGAGGGGGTAAAAGATGTTTGTGATGAAAAGGTGATAACTAAGAGACCTATTCAAAGAGCAGTGCTTGAAGGGCTTTGATTTAGGCTGCTCCCACCAGCTGTTTTTATCTACATTTTTGTTGCTTCTTCAATATCTATTTGCTATATTTTGTAGTTGAGTTGGGGAAGGTGTTTTCTGTGTTTCTTATGCACTTTAAATGGATTAATGGTAGCACACCCTTCCTGTCCGTGGCTGGCTCCGTTTACTGTGTGGAGTCGCACACACCTCAAGTGTAGGTGTGTTCAGAGGGTGCTGCTTACTGGTAAGTACAGTGATTATCTTTGGAATAGCTGTTTTTCTGTGAATGTCTGTGGATTTTTTTGCCCTCAGCTACTTGACAGATATGTAGCGTTCTAAAAGTGGAAAATGTGCTTTTATTGTACACTGTAGTATAAATCTATGTTTCAGGATTTTTTTGTTTGTTTTGTTTTCTTGCAGTGGAAGCTTTAACATTCCCTCCATCCTCAGGGAAATCTTTCATTATGGGAACAGATGAAGCCCTTGAAAATGAACTGGGTCTTGGAGAACTGGCAGGCCTTACAGTAGCAAATGAGGCAGATTCACTGACTTATGATGTAAGTGGTTATTAATGGTAACTCAATGTCCTTCTGTCTTGTTGAAGGCAGATGCAAGTTACTTGTGTATAGACTCAGCAGAAAACATTCTCCAGTTAAAATTATGCTGCCAGAGGATGTCACAAAGTTTTACTTGGCAAAGGACTCCTTTCCATGCACAGCAGCATTCAAGCTCTCTGCCAGCCCCTCTCCTCTCATTTGCCTGCCATGTTATGCAAGTAGTTGAAAGTAAATTAGTGATAGTGGTACATCTGGGCACATGTAACTCCAGTGACTGAACAAAATTAGGAGTATCATGGCCAGCAGATTGAGAGACATTTATGTCCCTTTTACATGGGCTGTATGCAGTTTTGGGCCACTCCACTTAAAAAGGGTTGTAGAAAAATTGAAGAATATCTGGTAGCTTCTGACTGATGAGTAGATGTTAAGGGAGCTGGTCTTGCTTAGCTGTTAGGATGCAGAGGAGTGCTTGAATAGCAGCCTGCAGGTGTTAGAAGGGTGCTTGTAAGGGTGACAGAGCCAAGCTTCTCCATAGTGCCAGGTGTTAAGGCAGGAGAAAACAGCAACTTATGGCTTGGGAGGTTCAGGTATGACACTGGGGGAGAAAGTTATGTAGTAGGTGATACTGAAACAGAGAAACAATGGAATCCCTCTCCTGGGAGATATTTAAAACTGTGGTTTACATTACCTCTGGTGTGAGGAATAGTTTCATTTCAAACAGGAAACTGGACCAGGACTCTTAGGAGGGTTTTGTGGACAGCACTTCTGTGGCCTTATTTTTCTTGCACTGTTTATGAAAAAAATCTTTCTTAAAATTACATCTTCTCAGTTGTATGCAATTTTTTTTCTGTGTTTCTGATTTCTTGGGAAAAGATACTTCAGGTATTAATTTATTCATCTGCTCTTGTGTGATCTGTCAGCTTCAGTTTAATCTTGCTGTTGCATTGCCCAGCTATGTCGAGGTTGAGGGATTTCAGAGATAATTTTTAATTCTTGGATGGGGATGAATCCTACCCTTCAGTAAATCTGATTCTTAAATAATCATTATCTGGGATTTTACCATGACAAATTAAATCTGAGACTTTGGACATAAGATGCAGGTCCTTACTTTGAAGTTCTACCCCTGTATGTACCTGTAAAGCAATGAAATACATAGTTAATAAAATCTTAGATTCATTTGAGAGTGCCACTGCAGAGGCATGCTCTACCACTATAGCAAGTTTCTGAACATGTGATATGTTATGAATCATCAATATTGCAATGAATGCAGAGCATTTCTCCTAATATTCAGTATTTCAGTATTATCTACCAATTTGATGTTTTTAAGAACTAATTGTCCCTAACTATGTCTTCAGAAAGGGGTACAGTAATGTACAAATAAATTACTGTTACAGGTGCTCCTAAAAATCCAAGCCTGGATTTTAAAGTCAGAGAACATGACAAAGCTAACCCATCTGTACAAGATGCTTTCATTGCTTGACCTCATTGTGCAAGTGTCCATATAAATGTTGTGTTTGTTCATGTCTCTGTATCCTGAACTAACAGCTTTCATTTATGGAGTAGCACTTCTTTATCCACTCCAGTCCTTTCCTGCATGGTAGAGAATACTAACTTCTATTTGTTCATTTGTCCAATGCCTGTATGAAGTCCTGTGATCAGGAATTCATACTCATGGTTACCTCGACTCTTACCTTTTTCTAGTGCTGACAATTAAAAAAAAATTTATAAAACTATTTGCTCTGTTTACTGTGCACTTTATTGAAGCAAAATGAAAGGCTGTTGTTCCTATTTCAAGTTTATTGTAAGTTTAGCTTACAGATAATGTAATCTGGCTGCCAAATGTGAATCACGTACGATTAGTGAAAGCTTAGTATTTATTTTTAAGTTTCAGTTTTGAATCATATGGAGAATTAAGTTGAAAGATCACGTGAATCAGTCTTTAAATATATTTGCTTTCAAGAGTGGCAGACGCTTTTCCCATTTTTGGTTCCTTTCATCTCACTGATATTTTTGCTGGATTATTTTCTTCTAAAAATGGCAGCATTAGCCTACCTCATTTCATGGTTTCAGTTTTTTACATAGTGCTTTGACTGTAAATTGAAGAATGGTTTTCACTTGGTAATGAAGATTATTAATTTATTACTTAAAAGACTTCTTTTTTTTTGGTATATTGGTTTTTAGAGTATCTAACAAGATTAAATTTTCCAGATTGCTAGCCAATACACTTAAGTTTGCCTTTTCTTTTTCCTTCCTTTACACATTCTTGACAAATGTTCACTGTAGTTGGCTCTGGTTTTTTTTCCTCTAGTCTTCTGGATAGATTAATCATCTTTATAAAATTGTAATAGATTTTAGGTAAGAGTGACTGAACTACAAAATCATTGCATTTAATGTTAAGTACTGATTTGGAGGTTTTAGACATCGCAGTAGGCCCTTGTTTGATTTCTTACAACTTTGAACAAGAGAAGTACCTGTCATTGCTGTCTTGAGTTTTCAATTTGTTTTCAATTTGTTTTCAATTAATTTTCAATTTTGTATAGACACAAGTATTATTATAACCGGCAAATCCAGATCAGGTGCCAATTTTGGGGTTGGCATCCCGCCAAAGTGCTTTTCAGGCCTTGGGTTACCTCACAGTTGTGCTTTGGTGCGGAGAGACAGAAGGAGGTTGTGTGCTGTGTGAGTAACCAGCCTCAGAGCTTGTGAGACTGGTGGGTAGAGTGATGTGGTGCAGCCAGGTGGGTGATGCGTCAGGATTAGAATCTGTTTCCAGCTCTGCTGCTGGTCTCCTAGCTGGGACTGCTTTCCAGTTTATGAAGTGCCCTTCTTGGACTCCTTTTGGAAGGACATTTTTGAATGAATGTCAAGCAAATATAGAATTTTATCTTGCCAGGACTGGAATTCACTGTTAGGCCATCTGAGGTGTCTTTGTGGCTTTTGCAGCTGTGGCACAGAACCCGTGCTGCTGGTACGGCAGCTGGAGGGCAGGCAGGTTCCCTCCAGCACCTGATTGGCATTAGGTGCCTATGTTGAGGCAACCAAATTCCTCTCCAGATATCTGTACATCTTGTACCCGTTTTGCTGAGACTTTCTTGGCCAGTCCTCAGAAAACCTGCCAGAGCTGCTAACTGTGCAGTCCTGCCCCATCCTTGTACCAGCTCGAGCATTTGTCTGTTCCCTCACCCAGCCAAATTGGCTCAGTAAACTGGCAAAGAAACTGACTTGTCTCCCTGAGCAAGGCAATATGTCATTACTAAGAGAGATGATGAGACTAAACCTGCTGTTTCTTGTGGCTCCTTTCTCCTTGTTTAAAATCTATAGAACCTTTAAATTTATGTATATTTTTATTGTTAAATCCAGATGTAACAAAGCTTAAGAAAAAGCACTTCTGTTCTTTAGCCTCCTCTTTCACCTCCAGTCCCCAGGATAAAATGTTTCTTGAAGTGGCTCAAAATAGTTCTCTCATCTTTGCAGTTAAAGATACAAATTATTTGGAATTATCTTTAGATTTCAACATGATAAACATCAGTACATCAGTACAATTATGTGTTTTCTTGGTTTTCCACAACCACCATCAGCATTGGTTATGGAAAGGTAAATTTAACTCATGACATTGTTGACTGACAGTGAAAAAGTTTGTTCAGCATTTTGTGTCAATATTTGTTCAGAGGAGCAATATTGAAGTAACTTATTTTATTAAAAGGCTTTATTTTGGATCATCTACAATGCATTTATTGCCAAATAATTGTGTCTGTATACACGATACCTTATTGCCTGCCAGTTAGATTCTTAGTAGTAGAAGTAGCCAAGTCCTTTTTGCCTTTTTTTTTTTTTCTATTCTGGCAAACCTTACTTGTCATGCATTATTACAGAGCTTGTGTTACCTTAGCTGGGTAAGTTAGGTTGTGTTCCTTGCTGTGCTTCTAGAGACTTCTCTGTTTCTCTCAGATCTTTTCTTTAGAGGTGTTATGTCAGTAGTACTTTGGATATTCAGGGACTGCACCTTGGTGAGTCAAGCCGAACTTTGTAAGTGAATGAGCCATAGATCAAATTTTAAACACTTAACTGTATTAATTGAATTATCAGTGCTTTTAAAGTGTGTAATTTGACAGACATAAGATTATTTCAGATTTGCCTAGAATTTATCACTGTGGATGCAACATTACTCATATGGAACATGTCTACCGTGGTTCTCATTTTGAAGTGTCTGGTTAGTGTTAAGTGGACTGTTGTTTGAGAGCAGGTTATTGTGAAAAGTGGGTGAGGTAATTTGACATCTTCTGAAAATGCCAAACTAAATTTTTTATTTCTTCCTTTTGTTGTGCCTTCCAGCTTAATTACAAGTTTGGCATTTTTTTTTATTAGATAGCCAACAATAAGGATGCATTGAGAAAGACTTGGAACCCCAAGTTTACGTTAAGAAGTCACTTTGATGGAATAAGAGGTCTCGCTTTTCATCCAGTTGAACCAGTCTTAATAACAGCTTCAGAGGACCATACATTAAAAATGTGGAATTTACAAAAAACAGCCCCAGCAAAAAAGTAAGAATTTTTCTTTATTTTCTTCAAAACCAATTTTAATTTATGAAGGAAAACCAAAATCTAGATACTACTTCACTGAATGGCCCTTACAGTTAATGCAAAGTGTTCCCTGAATTTAAGACTGGGAAAACAAGCTCTTAGAGAAGGGTGGAGATGCCTAAAGAATGCCAGAAAAAATCCATGTGTGTTTGTGAATGTGTTTTGTTTGTGAAGATGAAAACCATTCATGTTTTTATATTTTCCTTGTAGATAACATGACAAATTAATTTACTAGTAAAAGTATTTGGATGCAGCCTGTTAGTGTGCTTGCATGTGTATATAAATGTATAGGATGCATTTATATATATATGCATATGTATGTATACACATACATGCATATACATGGGACAGCTTGAAACTCTGAGGTGTTGCCAGGTTCCTTGTTAACTGTCTCTTGCAAATTGCTGGGAATTTGCAGAAATCAGAGGAAATTCATAATGGGGCTGAGGTGGTTAAGGGAGTACGTCACACTTTTGAGGAGAACTGGGCATAACACAGTCCTCCCTTGGATTGATAAAATCCAGAGCAGCAAATTTTGAAGCACTTCAGTGTTGATAGAAAAACTTTGAGTACAAAACTCCTTTGCTCCAATAAGAACAATTAATGATACATTCCATGTGATGCTGATGTCTCTCCACTCCTGTTCCATTGATGTACCTAGCTGCTTGTTTGATGGGTCTCTGAAGTACCTTGAAGGCCTTCAAACAAAAATCCAAACAACCAATCCTGTCATGTTTCGAAAGACTGCAAATAGTTCCTAGACCCATGAAAAATCACGTTGGGAGAGGAAGTTGTGGGGAGAAACACTGCAAAAGATGTAGCAGGGATTTTAAGAATTTAGCGATTCCAGCAAATTTTTCTGAAGCATTATATAAGATGGTACACATGTTAACATTTTTTTCGTACTTCATTTAGGAGTGCTTCTCTTGATGTAGAGCCAATATATACCTTCCGAGCACATAAGTAAGTATTTCCTGAGAAATACTGTCATATTTTGAGAAAGATAAGATTTTTAAACAGAAACAGATTTTTTAAAAAAAGTAATTTCCACCTTATCAGCTACTCATTTCATGTGACGCTTTTAGTTCCTATGTTGTTTAGAATATCTCCATGTGTTCTGCTTCCTTCTGCATAGTTATTTATGTCTGAAGTCAGATATACCACCATTTTAAAATGAAAAACCTACAAATGATACTGTTCAAATTTGTTCAGGTGTTCTGTTCATCATTGCAGCTTTTGCCTTTTTGACACATACTTGCATATGCGGAATGAAACTGAAGAAGAATGAATGCAGTGAATTTAAATCTACTGAGATGATTTCATGAAAGCCCCTTAAATCTTTTGAAAAGAGAAAAAATGTGTTTATGTGAAATATGAAATCCTAGAGTTTAAAGTGTGGTGTTTTTCACATTTCATGTGCATAATGATTAATTGTCCTGATTGCAGTTGTGTTACCAGATATTGTGGAGGGCATTTTTATGGGAAATCTTGTGGCATATGATTTCATTATGCAGCATTTTTGTTGCAATCCATGTAGCAAGTGAATTGTACCTCACATGGAAATTCTTAAGATTGACACTGCATTGCATGTGATGAAAATGTTAACAGTCAGTGTTTCTTTGGGGCTTTCTTCCAGTGGCCCAGTGCTCTGTGTGGTGATGAGCAGTAATGGTGAGCAGTGCTACAGTGGGGGAACAGATGGCCTCATCCATGGCTGGAACACAACCAACCCAAACATTGACCCCTATGACTCTTATGGTACGTTGCTGTCGCACGCAGCAGTGACATGATAAGTTTAGTGACAGTCATGTTATGTCACTAAAATAGTATAACTTGTAGATAATGCTTCTGTGAGAGTTTAAAACAGCAGATTGAATGTTATCTTCAATTACTTAAGTAACCTCTTGTTTTAATGCTGATACTGCTTGATGGCAAGATAAAATGTCATTTTCTTAAAAAATGCCTCGATCTCATCATAGTTTTTAGAAACAGCTAGTCTAAAGCGCAGGTTTTAGAAGTACAGGACTAAACCTGATCATTTGCAAAGTGCAGGAAATGTGTATTTTAGTGTTCTTTTCTTTGACAAATTTCTGTGGAGTTGAGATAAAAAGGTTTTATAGTCTGACACCAAAGCTGTTAATGTTGGCTAGAAACAGCTAAAAAGGCCCAGTTCAGTAAAATTTACTAGATTTGAGTGGATGTCAGCCTTGTGTCTGCGTTTTATGATTTATTTTGCACTTGTGGTAGCTTCAGATGCAGCTGGTCTCAAAGCTAGCTTCTGCATAAAAAGGACTGCTGTGGCATTAATAGCTGTTTGAAAGTGAATTTTAACAATGAAATGTGTTTTGCCAAAGTCAATACTGTCCCTTCTGCTGAAGCATTGTTTTGTTCCTTTAGTTGAAAACTGGCTAATTGAATGTCACATATGCTGCTGAAATTCAAGCATCTTAATGCCAGAATAATTAAGACTTCTGTATTGATATGATGTGATTGATCTTGGGATTTTTTATCAGTTATCTTCCAGAGGTTGGTGCCTAAACATAGGCTAAGATACAGCTATTGACTTAATTCAGATTTTGTTTTGAAATGTGTTTTGTTGTGTTTGGTTCACAGATCCTTCTGTTCTAAGAGGTGCTTTTGTAGGCCATACAGATGCAGTGTGGGGTCTGGTTTACAGTGGAGCTCACCAGCGTTTGCTGTCCTGCTCAGCAGACGGCACCATACGTTTGTGGAAAGCTACAGAAATTGCTCCAGCTCTCAATATCTTTAATGATAATCAAGGTACAGGAAATTGCCCTACAGAAAATTCATGTTCATGAACATCACTGTTCAAACTGACATAATTTTGGCTACTGAATAGAAATACTTCCTGTGCTTCTTTCTGAGTTTTGTATCTTTATGAATGTTTTTGGGAAGAGTAAATTTTGTGACCCTTCTCTGACATTACCTGAATATTTACCTACATTCAGGGGGACAGTTAAATACATCTGAAAGCCAACTGCTGCAGATGATCTGCTGATGTTCCTAGTGCCATGGAGGATAGTGTATTAACTCCATAATTCACATTCAGACTTGAGCTTCCACTAGCCCTTGCTTTTGGTTTGTCCAGAATAAAAAGCCCTTTCTTCCTCAGTGGAGGTTTGGAGTAACCAGTGTTTCATCTTAGGCCAGTGTCATTGTACCTTCCAGATTTGTTCCTTGTGCCTCTAACACAGAGATTCCAATTGAATTTCTGAGTTTGCAGATCCACGAAATCACAATAACCTAGCGATTCTAAACAGGGCTAATTGAAAAAAATATACTCCTTTAGAGTTAGTTACTGAAATGTCATGCACAAGTGAAAATCCCACTGGTTAGAATCTAATTTCTGGAAGTTGCTGTCTGTCTGAGCCAGAGTGCTCCAGAACAAGCCCATTGACGTGGCCAAACTTTCTTACAGCTAATAGTCATTAAAGACAGCTCCTGAGCTGAGACTGTCCCATGTCTCTTCAGAAATACTTTGAGGCAAAATAAACTTTGTTACAGCTGGACAGACATGTCAAATTATAGTGTAAAGCTGATCAGATATGCCATTGCTTGTTATTCGAAACAGACTGAGCAAAATAGAAACATTTCATGTATTTTAGCTTTAGCAAAACTGTGTTTCTAAAGGTATGCAGGCTTGTTATTGCCAGCTTGTCTATCTGCCTGCTTTGAAAACTTCCTGGTAGAGTTTTGGAGTTTGTTACTGTGAGTTGTTTTTGTTTTAATTATTAAACTAAGGGGGAAGGAGGAGTAGTCTTCCCTCACAGAGGCAATATAATAGCCCTAATATTAGGGCTTTTTTTTTGTATTCTAAACTGGAATGAAGCCCAGTTGTGAAATCCGAAGACTGAAAGTTCAGTTTTCCAAATAGCTTATTGATAACCTTTAACAAACCCCTAAAATATCTGTCACTCATTATTCAAGTCATTCAGATTAACCATTGTAGGCTTACCAGGAAGCTGCAGATTCCTGCTTACCAGGAAGCAGGCATGGCAGTGGTAGGAAAGGTCACTTGAGAAACAATGTGGTTTTTTCTCACACCAATCCTTTTTGGCTTTTTTTCGGATACTTGTAGATAACTACTGCCATTCCTGAGAAATATTCCTGAGGTCCTGTGTCTCAGAAGGACATTTCTCCCATGAATCTCTAGAGAGTTTACAGGGATGTGATGGTATTCCTGTATTATCTGAATCTATGATCCCACATTAGGTTGTTTAAAATTCAGTTTCTCACTCTCTGTCTTTTCCTCCTCCTCCTGACGTCTGTTGCAACTGGTGTTGTTCTTTCACATAGCAGGTGGTGAACAGGACATTTGAAGAGAAAAATTCTAAGGAATACATCCTATGCCCAAGCTTTGCTGATTTGACCTTCTGTCCTGTAGTGTGCAGATAGCTACAGTATAAGGAGATCAAATATATACCACAATAGGCAGGAGCTTTGAAATACAAGTTTATAATGCATTTATGTAATCGTACATGATGACAGTTCCAGTGTGCAAAATCTGCACCTGGAAAACTTTGGTGTTTTATTAAGCTCTGATTTTGTCTAAGTTAATTATAACAACATTAATTATCTGTCATGTCACTTGTTGTACACTTCAATTTCATGTCCTTTTACTCAAAGCAATGGAGTTTGGTGGAGTTTTTTTGAGAATTGTTGTTATAGTTAAAGGAAGGAGAAGGGGACAGGGAGTTCTTGCTTTCTTAAATTTAAAGTAGATTTCTGCACAGCTGCAGTTCCAGATACAGCATCTTAGTAAGAAAGTTGTTGATACACATGTCCAAAAAAATAAGATTAAAATCATTATCATACAGGGAAAGCTATTTAGATTGGCATAATTTATATCTTAGAATGCAATATTTCCTTTGATAATTGGGGTCCATTTGGTGTTGAAGTGCTTACTTTTTTTGTAAGGATTTTTTTTGTTTAGTTTTTTTTTTTTCATTTTCTTTACACCAACTATATCTTCTCTACATTGCTTTCTAGAAATGGGAATCCCTTCATCAGTAGACCTTGTGAGCAGTGACCCAAGCCTCATGGTAGCATCATTTAACAGTGGACACACTAGCATTTTTAACATGGAGACACGGCAGCGAATTCTTACCCTGGAGTCCACTGTGGATACCAGTATGTATCAAAAGCCCCAAACCAACTAAAGGAAAAAAAATGCTTGTTTAAGATGGATACTGTTGATAATCTTTTCAGTGCTTCCAAAGAATTAGGCAGTGTCATGAGAAGTTATAAGATGGATAATGTTAGAAGCTGTGTTCTGATATATAACAGTAAATTGTTACTACTACAACAGACCTCATAGGTTTTGCAGTAGCAGAAGAATGTGCATACTTCTGAAATAAGATAGAAACAAGCTCACACTCTGAATTCCTCTTCAAGGGAATGAGAGGAAATGCTACTCTTCAAGTAGCATGAGAAAAAACACAACTTTCTTTAATAAGGCTTTGTGATTTTTGCAGATTCAATATATCCATTTTCTCTTCAGTCCAAAACCGCAAAAGAGGCAAAAATTTAATGTTAAATTTATATAAAAATTGGGAATGTGTGTCAATTATTTTTATTTTTCTTCAGAGGTATCCATTTTCTAAGCTTTATTGCACTCTTGTCGGATTTGGATGTGCGCTTTAGTTGAATTTTCACTGAAGGAGGAAAGCAAAGCTCCAGTGAAAGAGCATTAATTCACAGGGTCTCCTTGTGATCCATATAATGCCTTGGATCATGTCAGTGACCAATACTAGAAGTTTTAGAGGATACTGTTAAGAGCCTGCTGTTAGTACATTATATTGCAATGACTTTACAAAAGAGACCAGAGTGAGCTGAAGCATAAGGGTTCATATTCAGGCCACAATGGTAAAACATTGTGTCTTTTAAAATTTTGGTATTTTTTCCCTCACTCTTAGGGATTTATGCACTGAATTGTACCATTTAACTATATTTTTAAAAAGCACTAAGCCATTCTTGTTGGCTTTGCTTGTGTGTTTTAAAATATTGAAATTACTGTAATTTTATAAGAGCAAATGGAAAGTTCCATATCTCTTCTTTAGGTTATTCCTTACTGTGCTGGGTGTCTTCTTTTAACCCACATCTTTGTTCCTGTCTAAAAAAACAGTTCTAAATTAGTTAAAGCAATTCAGTGGAAGCGACCTTTCTTCTTCCCTCCCATTTCTCCCTTCTGTTTTTTGCACCCACTCCTTGCTGTAATTCCGTAATGTTCCTTTAGGAAAAGAAGACCCTGATATGGCAACCAGCAGTCCCTGTTTAGTATCTTTGGTTATGTAACAGTACTATAAAGCTTACATGTATTTTAAAGAAATAAATTATTATTTCTACAAGAACTAGACAAGAGGAAAATGTCACCTGAAATGCCCTACACACTATTTAGGGACTCTTCTGCTCAGCATAAGCCTCTGCTTGGCATTTTCAAACCATGAGGATGGCTGGATGTGGTAAAGGTTCATGTGCTTTTAGTAATTTTAGGAGTGTTTATGAATATGAATGTGGAGTTTTTTTCCTGAATTTATACTTTCATAATTTCTAAGTGTCCTGTGGATGCTGACACTGTCTTATGGTTCAGATTTTTATAGAAAGGTGTAAAACCATTTTAATAGGAAGTGAACCTTCTATTTTGTTTGTTTTAGTAAGAATTTAGATTAAATTGTGTGAATGTTCTTTGGAAGCAATTTAGCTAAATACAGTCAACATGAAAGACAATATCTGTATTTTGATTTCCTGTGTAATGACTATTTGAGGGTTTTTTCATAATCTATGACTTTTAAGACACCTCTTGCATTAACTTGTGCATCATACCAATGCCTGGATCTCTAACCAGAAAATTCCTATACTTTTTTTCTCTGTGTGTACATATATATCTATATATATGCATGCTATTTCAGAATTACTGAAGGCTAGGAAATTTGCTCTCCTATGAATAATCGAGCATCCTTTTTTCAATAATAATGTTAATACATATACATCAGATAATAAGGGGTAGATTTTGTTTGCTTCAAACATGTTGCCTGCAGTGTTTATTTACCTGTCCTGTGTGTTATGAAGAAAGTTTGACTTGGCAAGAAGAGGAATGTGTATGAATGAGGTGTTTTCACCAGTTTTTGCTTTTACATTTTTGCCTGATGTGCCTATCTAAAACCATGTCCAAAAGCTGGACCTTATTTGGCATACATATGTTTTATGTAAGTCTCTGTCTTGTGTAGTTTGGAAAGTATTTTAGAGGAAAGCGTATAACATAAGGTGCTAGCTGAGAGTTGCCAGGATATGTAAGAAGTATTTTGCAAATCAGATTGACGACATATTTTTTTCTTTGTAGCAGTCTTTCAAAGAACTTAGTAACTTACTTATGCTGATGTGTGTGGGTTTTTTCTTAGCAGTCAGTTCTTCCTGTCAGATAAACAGAGTCATCAGCCATCCAACTCTTCCAATTAGTATCACTGCTCATGAAGACAGACACATCAAATTCTACGACAACAACACAGGTATGCATCTTTCCAGCAGATCTTAGCTGTAGCCATTGTGTAATATAAATTGTATTCCCAATTTTGTTGTGATCAGTATTACTCACACAAATGCTGAGGGATGTCAAGAATTGGATAGCCTCTGAAGCAGAAATCTCTCATCACCAGTAGAGTATAAAGATTGCCAGCTCATTTAAAGCTTTGTTGGCAAAGTGATAAGGAACTTGGATCTCTCTGTCCTTTCTTTTAGAATGCCCTATGTATGGGGTTTATAAATATTTAACATAAAATTAATCTTTTTCAAAATCTTCATGTTCTTATGTTTATGTTTCTTCTATTGATTGTCTGTATTATTTTGCTTTTGAGAGCAGGAACCTCTGGCACTCCTTTAGTGCTTCCTAGACCTCTGCTACATTTGACCCATGAGTTCTTATTTTTAACATGAAATTATTGCTGTGATTACAATAAGCTGTGATAAAACATTAATTCTCTCTGAGACAACTAACACTATCCCCTATTCCCAGGTAGTTTATGTTCATTGCTTCTAGTATGCTCAGCCCCTGCCTTCCTACCCATTCAAGATATTACCTGAGAACTCCATTAATTCGCTTAAGGGACAGATATTTAAAATGCACAGTGATTGTAGTGTCAGCGTGGCTTAAAGCAAAGGTCTCATAAATGTTGGTCATACTGCTACTGTGGTTCTTGGGAGCTGTAAACATTCAAATATCGACTTCTATAATTTTAATGATTCAGTCATGGGACAAAATCTCTTGTGTTTATATCAGCTGTGATAGGGTCATAAGCAGTGAATACAGACAACAAAGTTAATTGCAGAAAATAACCTAAATAAATCTTTTCTTTCAAAGGAAAACTGATCCACTCCATGGTAGCTCACTTAGATGCAGTTACAAGTTTAGCTGTTGATCCTAATGGCTTGTATTTGATGTCTGGCAGTAAGTACATTCAGATTTCATTTTCTTTCTCTCATAATGGTGGGAGGCATGCAAATTATAAAGAAAACTGTTTTCCCTTTCTTTAGGCCATGACTGCTCGATTCGCTTGTGGAATCTTGAAAGCAAGACCTGCATCCAAGAATTTACTGCGCATCGCAAAAAATTTGATGAGTCCATTCATGATGTGGCTTTCCACCCATCCAAATGCTATATTGCCAGTGCAGGAGCAGATGCCCTGGCTAAAGTGTTTGTATGACAGAGTGCTTCCCATTCAACTTTAGCTTTGTATATATTTAACCAGCTGCACAAAAGAGAAGAGGAGGGCATGAGTTGTTTTATCTTGCCCTATAATTCAGAGAATGTTTGTAAGTGTGTAGTTTTGCAGGGTGCTGTTTTCTAAATTGACGTTTGTTCTGGTTTCTGTGAGCTCAGCTGGTGCTGAGAGCTTGGAATCTCTCAGTTTCAAATAGTTTAAAAAAAAAAAAGCTTTTATGTAGAGGGTGTGAATTTTCGTCCAGGCAGGCCTTGGGTGAAACTAGGTCTACGTATTCTCTATTAATAAAATGGAGTACTGGAAAGAAGGGGTCTAATTGCATCAGGGAGTAGGAAAAGAGGGAAACTTCCTAGGATGCTTCTCATTGAAGAATCTTAATGTACTCAAATCACCTGGAAAAAGTGATTCAAAGTCAGTTCACATGCTCTTTACTGTATCATGTGAGAGGCACTTTGTCATCCCTTTGGTGTATGAATAAAGTAGATCTTGTTCAGAGAGCAGTAGCAGATAGTTAATCTCAGCCACCTGGCTGCTAGCCTAAGATAAATGCAATTAAAGGAAGGCAAATTACTAACATACATTAAAATGCAGTAAAGTTTCTGTTACATCTTCTGTGTTTCTCAGTAAATATTTTGTTTGCAAAAAAAAAGATATAATTTTTTAAGCCTGTATTAGCGTATGGCTAGAAACTGAGCCTTTAGTCTAAATCCCAATTAACAACAGACTGATGCAGTCTGTGCATACTGTAGTAGCAAATTTAACTTATTCAGATTTTAATGCTGATTATTCTTGGAGATCTGGCACAAGAAATTATCACAAAGCTTTCCAAAGAAGCTGTCCTACAATTTTAGCTATCAAACATTTGTCTCCTCTTTCTGTTTCTGCTAAAAAGGGTATCATTCTGGGCATTATGGATAACAGTGAAATACTTTGTTTGAAGATTAAATCTGATGCTTTGTATGAGTCCTTTTAGTGGAATAGGTGGAAACTGTACAAAGCTCCATCAGTTTGAGAGATTCTGCTACTGCTATAATATTTCCCAGCTGCACCATTTGAGGGACTTTTTACCTTGTCCACTTCACTGGGTGTATGTGCCATTGATTGGGTTACCTGAAGAATGAGTGCTTCTCATAATTACTCAACAGATGTGCTTTGTTTATCTATTCAGAGCTTCTCTGTTGATTTGACAAATAACTTTTAATCCAATCTGTTAGTCTTTTTGTCCCTTCTTAAAGGAAAGTGAGTGGGTTCTTTTCTGTTACGTGTCATCATCGGAATTATTACTGTTCATAAGCACGAAGTTGGTGTTTTTCTCTGATGGGAATGGAAAGCAGAATTTCTGCTGGAGTTGATTTCTGGTGCTGATATGAGTAGGAAAGAACCCAGTGCAACTCTTCATATACCAGCCTGAGGTTAAGACTGGAAACTGATAAATAAATCCTTACCTTTAAACTGACACTTCATAAGCAGGAGTCATTGAACGATATCAACCCCATGAGGTTTGACTATGTTGTTTTTAGAGTGCCATTTGGGGATGGGACCACATTTGAAGTTGATCTCAGAGTTTAAAGCAAGTATATTATTTAGAATAAAAGGTTGACCTGTGCTGTTTGAGCCTGCTACATATTATATGTACTGCTAAAATATTCTGGAATACCTTTTATTGCTCAGAATATTCACATATGTCAGTTCATGATATTGATATGCAATATATTTCCTTAGATAAGATTAGAACTTTTACCATGAAACAGATGACTACAATAATAATACAGATTATTTAGTTTTTATAAAATGTTTTGGTTATGATGAAAAGGAGGAAACTTGGCTGCAAAACTGAGCATTCAACTTTGTGAGAGTTTTGTGTACTTGACTTATATTCTTTCAGTGTCATTATTTTATTTCTTTTTGAAGAGAAAATTACAAAAATTTATTTGAAAAATTCTAAAAGTTATGTATATTATATATGTGTATATATATTGTAAACATGTATTAAATGTGTCTAGTAAGGGAAGACTCCATGGGTGCATTTTAATGTTTTAGTATTAAGAGTTCTCTTGAGTTTGTGTATACAAAGGATAATGGTGTGAGTATGAAATGAATGTTGTGTTTTTGCTTACACAATACAATATGTAGTCACAGTTGTTTAAATTGCTGTACATAAAAACTAATAGGCCAGCATGCTTGTTTTTAAAGACTGTCATTCTGATTACAATTGGAATGTAAGAAGTGGCTGTTCAAATGTGAATTGAAAGATGTTTCCTTCTCACTCTTGAGCTCTTGCTCAAACTGAAAAGTGATTTTTTTAAAAGCTGGCAATAGCTAGAGGATAAGGTGCCTTTAAAAAACAAAACAAAACAAATGTAGCCTTACGAAGAGGTTGTGGAATATATATATTTTTGTGCTTGTCTTCATAATTGATGTCAATGTCTTTTTACTGTACTTGCTCACATACTTGTAGGACTGCAGGGTATTGTGCATGAGCCTGTCAGATCTGAGCATCATCGTAGGAGATAAGGTTGAAAAAATTATTTAGGTTATCTAGTCCATCTGCTTGCTAAAGCAGGGTTGTAGACTTGTGCATTCTAATATTGTCTTGACCAGTGAGATTTTATATGTTCTAAAACAATTAGGCTTCCTTTTAAAGATTATTTCAATGACTGCATCTCACTGGCAGGAGGATTTATGTAATATTTAGTAGCTCTTTTTTGTAACTTCATGCCAATATTCCAAGCCATCTTTTGTGCCATTTTGCATATTTTTCCTAGTCTTTGTAATTTGGAACCTCCATGCACACCCTGGTTCCATCTGTATATTTTCATTCCTTTCTGCTTTTTTCAAGCTATTTTTAGTCTGCTTTTTTTGCTCATTTGCTTGTTTTCATCCTTTAAGCTCAGTTCTCCAGATATTGGTGTCCATACCACCATTCCACATGCATGATTTGTTGGACTTAGTCTGAGGGTCATCTATTAGGTGTGGTTATTATTTGGTTGGGTTTATCCTCTCTAACATGATGCTTTTGTAGGAAGACCAAGCTTTTGATGTCTGACAAACTTAAATCATATTTCTTTATTTATGACAACTCCTTTAAATAACATTTGAGCATTGCTGCTTTTCAAGTTTCTTCTTCACTTTTAGTATGTTATGATTCTTTTGCAGCTAAAGACCTAATTCCTGTTTCATGATTATCCTGGATCTTACAAGTTTTGAACTTCTGAGGGCACTAAATTATTTTTATTTGTTCCCCCTTTCTATGCAGTTTTTCCTGGTTCAGTGTAATTAGTAACTTTCATTAGTGCGATACATATGTTCAAAGTGTAAACAAAACTGCACCCAAGGCTTATTCTTGGAAAAAACCATTTTTCTGCAATATCAATATATAGCATTTTACCATTACTATTTTCCCCCATATCTAATTTACATGGTAATTTTTTAATGGTTAGCTCATATAATTTTTGTCTATGTTAGCCTGTGCTAATGATTTTGGTTATACTAACTAATTTAATGGGAGAATTTTCATTCCTTCTGTATGTTGAAAATTGGTCCACTAGTTTAAGTACTCTCATTTTTACTCTAATTTACTTCACTGGGCTGCTTGCTTTCACATATTTGATTCAGTTACCAAAACACTTGCACAGAATTATTTGGAGTAACTTGGAAGAAGTTCTAGATATATTGTGTCACTCTTACAAAATCCTAGTGTCTGCATTTATTTTTGCGCCTCAGAGAGAAAACTTCCACATAAAAGATTCGCTACTTTCATCTCATCCATCTTTATTTTGATAAACTGTGTTCTTTAGCAAGAAACTTGTAGAACTACATGCCATGTACTGTAGCCTATTCTTTTAGGACGTGTATTTGCAAATAACGTCACGTTAAAGCAGTCCCATGGAATTTGGTTGAGTACGTGTGTGGTGTTCACCATACAGCTTTGTGATTAGGTCATACAACACTGCTTTTCAGTTGTGAATTTAAAGTAACCAGGGATTTGTTCTTTTGAATAAATGTATGAGAGATAAAGGACTTAGTTACAGTACCCTTTCAGTACATTTGTTGGATCACAGATGTGTTGCCTTTCTTTGCCTCCTTAGGTTTTAACAGTGTAATTTTGGGGAGCATCAGTTTCTGTAAACTCATGTGTTCTTTGAGCAGCTTTTGATGGGCAGAAGTGTGAAAGCAAAAAGTTGAAAAGCAGGCAAAATGATCAGATAATCAAGTCTTGGTTTTACTAATGCCTTTCAAGATTTGGAAACATTTTCAGGCTGTGGCTTGACAGTGTGTTCACAGACTGTCTGTCCCCAGGTATCCAAGAGCCTGCTTGGTGCCTGTGTGAAATGCCTAGTCAGCTGAGATGCATTAAGGAAGAAAATGCAGCCATTGTGGTTGTCCTGTGCTGAAATTTATGGAAGTTGGTTTGGACTACACTGTGAGAAATGAAGAAATCAGAATACAATAGTTAACCTCTTCCATGTGGTAAATTGATTTGTATAACATGTGGCAATCTTTGACATGGCAATACGAGTTTTCTTGGGCAGCTGCTGTTCATGAGCGTCACAGAGATACTTAGCATAGTTCTTACTATTGAGTGGCTGAGAGGATGGAAAGATTTCCTTGAAAAAAATGCTCAGATGTTTCAGGAAGCTCCTTTTATCCATAAGGACATGAAGGTGTTGAGAATATTTTATGTGAATCTGATAACATGTTTAGTTGAAGAAGGTGACAATAGGTGAACAGTCTTGACCCTTTCATCATCACTTTCTGTAAGCTTAGATACAGAGTTATGGAAATGATTTGCCTGTAAACTGCCACTGAAAGCCTCTGCCACATTCCTACTGAGCAGCAGAGAAACTGATGGACAGCAGTGTTGGTCCATCCAATTATGTCAGGGTGTTTTAAAAAAATAACCCCTATTGTAAAATATAGTGCTAAATACAGCAGAGCAAATGAACAAACTCCTGGGGAGGGTGGGGAAGGACTAGGATGACTCTTGTTTAAATAGTCCTTGTTCAGGCAAACACTCTTGTTTAGCTGGTGGCAATGTTCCTAGGAGGGAGGATGATTTTAAGTGTGACCTTTAAAAAAAATGTCTGTGCCTGTGCTAATGAACATACCTGTGCAGGTTATCTATCCTTTTGATATGTGCTTTTTATCTTCCCACTTAAATTTCCCTTTAGGATACATTTTCTCAGAATCTTAAAATCTCATCTGCAGTGAGCACTTACTGCAGGATGTCATGAAGGACTTCTGATTTTTCTCTTGGAGTGGTTTTTTGAAGAGTGGTTGAAGCTTCAGCTTCAGCCCAGCCCTCTCACCACCAAAAGGCTGATTTGTACCTCCTTACATGCAGTTTATTTAATTTTGGTGTGTTATCTCTTAGCCTGCCTTCTGAGTTGGTTTTGCTGCTCTGTACTCAGTTGTGAAAGCTTATGAATTGCTGTATCATTTAAGATATTTTTGAGAATGTGGATTCCACTACAGAAGGCATAAATCCAGTTGAATAGTATAATTTGTGGAGCTCATCTGGTTTGTTGTCAGGAGAGAGTTGTTGTTAGACTACAAAATCCAAACTATGGCTGAGCTAAAAAGGTATTTAACAATATTATATTCTTAGCCCAACTTCTTCCTGCCTAAGTGTAGATTGTGGTATTGTGTGTTAGACTGCTCTTGCCCTGCTCATGCTGCCAAGCCATGCTGTGATCCTGGGAGGTCGCACCAGTGTTTAAACTATACCCCATGTATGTGTTTCTAAGCTGCTCAAAGCCTTGTACTGATGTGGTCCTCCAGGCCAGCCTTCTTTGGTTCCCTTAAGTTTGAATTGCAGGCTCCCAAAATTACTTCCTGCCTATTTTGAATAACCCTTGGTCCTCACACCAGAGTATTAGACTCTGGTGTTGGGAAAAGATTTATACAGCTGGATTGAAAGGGAAAGGAAAACTTATTGCCAAGCCAAATATTGTC